AGGTTATCCAGCAAAGACAATAAAGAGTGTCTAGCCAGATTTTTATTTACAGAAAATATAAATAAAGTTAAGTTTTACTCCCCGTTTATGTTCACTTAGAACACAAAAAAGTACATAAAAGCGCTGTAAGTTACTCCCCGTTCATGTTCACTTTTTCATATTTTCTTTAAAAAAAATTTATATTTTATAGGGGTTTTTTTCTAAAACATAAGTTAATAGAGTAGGCGGCTAATTTATGAAAAAATAGGAAAAAGAGGTAATAAAAATGCCACAAACTGAGTTTTTAGTAGTTCCTGTTTTAGTTCCAGCAAAAAACGAACAAGAGGAAGAAGAAAGCCTAGAAGAGAAAATATCAAGAGTTTTCTTATACCCGCAAACACTTAGAGCTTATAGCGACCCTCTAGAGTATGAGGAAGAGGGAAGACAGCTTTTAAAACAGCTAGGAATAGAAGACGGCTACAGCCATACAGAAAACAAAGTAGAAAGCAAACAAAGTAATTATAGCCTTATGGGTTCCTCTACAGCCGTAAAGAGCTGGGGCGCTGCTGCCCTTTGCAGTAAAGAAAGCTGGGGTATTTACAAAGATATAGTAAAAATGGAAGCCGAATACACAATAGAAGAGCTTAAAAAGGGTAAAGACGGGCGGTTTTATATGTGGTTTAAATAGGTGCAGTAATGATAGAAGTAGAAACATTGTACTTGGAAATCTGGAAGAAAAGACAGTAGAAGACTATACAAGCGCTAATTCTCTACCAGAATTACTTAGAAAAGAGGGGCGCATAGTAGAAGTTTTTGAAAACTCCCTAAAGGAAAATGAGCCTTTAAGGTATGAAGAAGAGGGAAGAGCCATACTAAAAGAGCTGGGCTTAGCTAGTATAGTTTTAGAAAAAGGCAGCGCCGCTGGGTTCTCCCTTATGGGTTCTGCAGCTACCATTAAAGCATGGAAACAAGAAAGGCTGCAAATAATGAAAAACAGCATAGAAGAGCTATACCAGTCCTTTAAAGCTTGGTATGGTACAGACAAAATACTAGAAGAGCTGGCTAAAGGCAAAGACGGCAAGTATTATATGTGGTTTAACTAGCGCTGGCAGCCGCTTTGGCTGCTTTTTTTTCTTCTTTTAGAAGCTCTACGGCTGCTGTATCTTCTCTTTTTTCTTTTCTTTTAATAGCTGCTTCTATTTTCTTCTGCCTGTTTTCTGCTATCTGCAAAATAGGTCTAGCGTAATCTCCCAGCATTTTTACTTGTAATTTGCCCGTGTCTAACCATTCTTTTATAGGTAAGTTATCATCTACAACAGGGGTAAGAAAGAAGCTTGCTTTAAAGCTTGTATTGGTAAACTGCTTTTTATTAGCGTCTTCTATCTGGGTTATAGCTTGGTCTATAGGGTCTTTAATGTCTCTTAAAGCGTTTTTTATCCATTTTAACTTTTTTGTTTCTGGGTCTATGGTTGTTTCACTTGGTAGGTGTAATACAGTTTGTATAGTTCTGTAAGGAATAGTAAAAACAATCTGTCCGCCGTCTGTCTCTTTGGTTCTTCTGGCTGTAATGTGTATATAAAGTAGTAAGTCTTGGGCTTTTTGTGAAAGAGAGAAAAAGTATACAGGTAGCTTAGTCCAGAATTGCGTTAACTGCCCCCAGTCTATATCTGGGTTAATTCTAAAACGGGCTTCCCCTTTATTGTTAAGCGTAATAGTAGGGAAGAGGGTAGCCGCTGCAAAGCTTTGTAAGTCCTTGCCTTTATACTCTTCCTGTCCTACCTGTAAAGCCATTAAAGGCGCTTTAGCTTGTAATAAAGCCCTTTTGGCTGCCTGTATGGTAGTATAAAGCCCAGCTTCTACCATGTCTTTAGTAGATACTGTAAAGGTGTCTTTATACGCTCCGCTGCTGCCTATGCAGTTTTTGCAAAGTTCTATAATGGCGTAAGAAAACAATTTTTTTACAGGGGCGCTAGATACTGTTAATTGCTCAAGGTCTGGTAAAGTTATCTCTATTTTGTTCTTTTTTGAGTTGTAAGTAATAGTTTGGGTGCCTTTATCTCCCTTTACTACGCTTAAATTAGCGCTGCCGATAATTAAATGCTTTCTTTTTGCAAACTTTGCTAAGCCCTCTGTATTAGCGCCTAAACTTTCATAAATAAGCGCCATAGGCTCTGTGCTAGGGAAGTTGTAAAAGTTCTGTTCCCTCTGTTCTTCTAAGCCATAAGAGAAGCCGCTATTACTTAGGTTAAATAGGTCTTTTCTTATTTCTTCCATGTGTAAGCGCCCCCAGTTCCGCTCTTGTCATCTGGTCTTATAAAGAGAAGCTTTGCTATCCAGTTACTACGCCCGCTAACTCTGGTATCTCTATTAAAGGCTACAAAGTCTTTTAAATTTTCTTTAAGTTCTTCCAGTCTCTCTGGTTCTGGCTGTAGCTGGCTTACATCTATTAAAGGGAAGTTATCCTTTAGCGCTGCTAGCCTTTTAAGTTTTAAGCTATTATTCTCATAGTCTGTATTTTTTATTCTGGAATAAAGTAGAGTAATCATTGTGTTATAAGCGTTTATTCTTTTCTCTGCTTCTTCCTGTGCTATGGTATCTGCAAAGGCTAAGAAGTCCTCACAACTGTAATATTCTGCCATAGCTTTTAACGCTGCATTAAAGCCAGTTACATAGTAATAGCTGTCTTCTATAGAGCCGTAACAGTTGCCAATAACGCTTATAGCTTCTGCGTAGTCCTCACTATCCGTGTAAAACTGTTCTAAAGAAGTTTCTGGGAAAAGCAAATCGTGTTTAGGTTCTGTGTAGCTGTCTTTTGTTTCATCTTCCAGAATAGCTACGCCGTTTACTCTAGCCCTCTTATTATCCCTGTAAAGTATCTCTGGGCTTTCTACAGCGTCTCTGGTGCCGTAAGCGTTAGCGCTGTAAAGGTCATTCCACTTAAACTTGAATTTTCCCCAGTCTTCTACAGGAATAGAAGCTAAACTAGGAATAAGCGGGGCTTGTGCGCCTGTAGGAATAAATAACAGGTTGTAATACTTACTGTCTATGTCTTCTATTATGGCGTCTATAGCTTCCCTAAACTCTGTTACAAAGTCTATAAGCTCTGCAAGGCTCTTTTCTTTGTCTTCCTTGCCGTAAAAAGCGTTAGGGTAGCACTCCATTAGGGTAACATCATCTGTAATAAGCTCCCATTTTACAAGCCCCTCTGGCGGTTCTTCGTATGTATGCCATGTTGGAATAGGAAGCCCAGCCGCTTCTTTATTCTTTCTATAGGCTTCTTCTTCTGTAAGTTCGTTGTAATCATTAAGGCAGTTTCTAAAATAGTTTTTAGTGGCTACTGATTTTTTAAACTCTTCATCTTCTGAATTTGCAGCCTTTATAAGGTCTTCTGACATTACAGCGCTAAGCCAGTCTTCTTTACTCATTTTGTCTGAGCGTCTGCCGTCTGGCAGCGTGTAATAGCCGTTGCCTATGGCGTAGTTATAGTTTTTAAGTATAAAAGCGCTGGTTATAGGCTCTTTTATGTATTTATCTCTTATTTTGCTAAGAGGGTTGTTATTTTTGTTTCCTAGTCTGTATTCTGCAGCATAAAAAGAAATAGCCCTTAAAATTATGTCCGCTATATCATCTGTAAGCGGCTCTTCTTCCCCTGTCTCTTCTGGGGTTGTGTATAAGAAGTTGTGTATACTTTCTTTTTTAAAGGCTTCATGCTGTTTTTTAGTCATTACTACGGGCAGCTCTGCAATATATCTGTAAATATGGTCTTCTTCTGCTGTAAAGCCCTGTAAGTAATTAGTAAGGGTTTTAAGCCTAAAGTATAACTGCTGCTCATTACTGCTGGCGGTTGTACTTGCTGCTGTTATCCATGTGTAAATGGCGTTATAGCCGTTAAAGGTTTTGCCGTATTGTGGCAAAGAAAGGGAGTTAACCATTGTTTGTAGCTGGTCAAAAGGTACAAGCGGCTGTGGGTTTGCTACCCCGCTTAGCCCCTGTTTGTACAAGTCCGCCATTACTTTTATGTAAAGCTTTCCTATCTCTTCTCCAGTCCAGCTTTGCTTGTTTAGTATAGTCTTAATATTCATGGTTTACCCCTTTATTACAGGTCTATTGCCTAGCGCTGCTTCTATGCTCTCTAATCTATTCTTTAGTTCTGTGGCTTCGTAGGCTTTCATAGCGCCTGTAAGTATTGTACTTTCTTTTTCTATCTGGTCTTTTGTAATGTCTCCTAGTCTGGCTCTGCTGTAAAGGTTAGCATAGGCGGCTAGGATATTGTCCGCTGTATCTTTTTCCAGCGCTATAGCTGGTTGCAGCTCTATGTATTCCTGTTTAAGAGCTTCTGTATACTTTAGCTTGAAGTCTAACAGCTTCTCTGGCGGTATCTGTGAATAGTCTACCTCTTCCAGCGCTTCGTTAATTTTGGCAAGCGTGCTACCCAGTCTTTTAATGCGGGCTTCCTTGCCAATACTGTAGCTTTCTGCCAGTTCCTGTAGCTGCTGCCTTTTCACTAGGTCTATTTGTTCTTTAAATTCTTTTTCCCAGCTACTACAGGTTGTTTTAGCTATCTGGAGTTGTGAGCAAATAGCGCTAAAGCTCTTGCCCTCTGCTCTGAGTTGTACAAATTGTATTTTAAGCTCTTCTGGCTTCACTTCTTCCAGTTCCTCTTTTACAGGTTTATACACAATTAAAGTTGTGTATGTTTTGTTGTGTATGTCCTACTATTTCCCCGCCATAAAACAGAAGTTAAGCCAGAAAAAAAAGAAAGAAGCCCTAGAAATGCTAGTAAAGTACCAGAGGGCTACAAGCTTAACCCAGACTGTATAGAAAAGAAGAGTAGAAGAGTACAGCTTATCTTACAGCCTAGCTTATTTGAAAAAGTAACAGCAAAGGCAAAGGCAAGCGGAAAATCTTTTAATGACTATGTACACACCCTCTTAGAGGAAGACATAAACAACTAATACAAAGGAGCGCAAAGAATGAACATTTTAAAAGAAGACAGAACAGAGAATTTAAAGGGCTTTAGAATGTACACCCTTACAGAGCTTGAACCTATTTTAGGCGTAACCCACAGAACCCTTTTAAGCTACATTAAAGACGGCAGAATAAAGGGCGTAAAAGTTGGTGGCAAGTGGAAAGTATCAGAAGAAACTTTAAAGAAGTTTGTTAACGGAGAGAGCTAATACAAGCCCTACTTCCTACAACCCATAAAATGCTTTATTGTGAAATAACATAGGTTAGCAGACATTAAAAACTATGAAAATAATAGCTAGTTTTATGGCGGGGAAATAGTAGGACATACACAACAAAACATACACAACTTTAATTGTGTATAAACCTGTAAAAGAGGAACTGGAAGAAGTGAAGCCAGAAGAGCTTAAAATACAATTTGTACAACTCAGAGCAGAGGGCAAGAGCTTTAGCGCTATTTGCTCACAACTCCAGATAGCTAAAACAACCTGTAGTAGCTGGGAAAAAGAATTTAAAGAACAAATAGACCTAGTGAAAAGGCAGCAGCTACAGGAACTGGCAGAAAGCTACAGTATTGGCAAGGAAGCCCGCATTAAAAGACTGGGTAGCACGCTTGCCAAAATTAACGAAGCGCTGGAAGAGGTAGACTATTCACAGATACCGCCAGAGAAGCTGTTAGACTTCAAGCTAAAGTATACAGAAGCTCTTAAACAGGAATACATAGAGCTGCAACCAGCTATAGCGCTGGAAAAAGATACAGCGGACAATATCCTAGCCGCCTATGCTAACCTTTACAGCAGAGCCAGACTAGGAGACATTACAAAAGACCAGATAGAAAAAGAAAGTACAATACTTACAGGCGCTATGAAAGCCTACGAAGCCACAGAACTAAAGAATAGATTAGAGAGCATAGAAGCAGCGCTAGGCAATAGACCTGTAATAAAGGGGTAAACCATGAATATTAAGACTATACTAAACAAGCAAAGCTGGACTGGAGAAGAGATAGGAAAGCTTTACATAAAAGTAATGGCGGACTTGTACAAACAGGGGCTAAGCGGGGTAGCAAACCCACAGCCGCTTGTACCTTTTGACCAGCTACAAACAATGGTTAACTCCCTTTCTTTGCCACAATACGGCAAAACCTTTAACGGCTATAACGCCATTTACACATGGATAACAGCAGCAAGTACAACCGCCAGCAGTAATGAGCAGCAGTTATACTTTAGGCTTAAAACCCTTACTAATTACTTACAGGGCTTTACAGCAGAAGAAGACCATATTTACAGATATATTGCAGAGCTGCCCGTAGTAATGACTAAAAAACAGCATGAAGCCTTTAAAAAAGAAAGTATACACAACTTCTTATACACAACCCCAGAAGAGACAGGGGAAGAAGAGCCGCTTACAGATGATATAGCGGACATAATTTTAAGGGCTATTTCTTTTTATGCTGCAGAATACAGACTAGGAAACAAAAATAACAACCCTCTTAGCAAAATAAGAGATAAATACATAAAAGAGCCTATAACCAGCGCTTTTATACTTAAAAACTATAACTACGCCATAGGCAACGGCTATTACACGCTGCCAGACGGCAGACGCTCAGACAAAATGAGTAAAGAAGACTGGCTTAGCGCTGTAATGTCAGAAGACCTTATAAAGGCTGCAAATTCAGAAGATGAAGAGTTTAAAAAATCAGTAGCCACTAAAAACTATTTTAGAAACTGCCTTAATGATTACAACGAACTTACAGAAGAAGAAGCCTATAGAAAGAATAAAGAAGCGGCTGGGCTTCCTATTCCAACATGGCATACATACGAAGAACCGCCAGAGGGGCTTGTAAAATGGGAGCTTATTACAGATGATGTTACCCTAATGGAGTGCTACCCTAACGCTTTTTACGGCAAGGAAGACAAAGAAAAGAGCCTTGCAGAGCTTATAGACTTTGTAACAGAGTTTAGGGAAGCTATAGACGCCATAATAGAAGACATAGACAGTAAGTATTACAACCTGTTATTTATTCCTACAGGCGCACAAGCCCCGCTTATTCCTAGTTTAGCTTCTATTCCTGTAGAAGACTGGGGAAAATTCAAGTTTAAGTGGAATGACCTTTACAGCGCTAACGCTTACGGCACCAGAGACGCTGTAGAAAGCCCAGAGATACTTTACAGGGATAATAAGAGGGCTAGAGTAAACGGCGTAGCTATTCTGGAAGATGAAACAAAAGACAGCTACACAGAACCTAAACACGATTTGCTTTTCCCAGAAACTTCTTTAGAACAGTTTTACACGGATAGTGAGGACTACGCAGAAGCTATAAGCGTTATTGGCAACTGTTACGGCTCTATAGAAGACAGCTATTACTATGTAACTGGCTTTAATGCAGCGTTAAAAGCTATGGCAGAATATTACAGTTGTGAGGACTTCTTAGCCTTTGCAGATACCATAGCACAGGAAGAAGCAGAGAAAAGAATAAACGCTTATAACACAATGATTACTCTACTTTATTCCAGAATAAAAAATACAGACTATGAGAATAATAGCTTAAAACTTAAAAGGCTAGCAGCGCTAAAGGATAACTTCCCTTTAATAGATGTAAGCCAGCTACAGCCAGAACCAGAGAGACTGGAAGAACTTAAAGAAAATTTAAAAGACTTTGTAGCCTTTAATAGAGATACCAGAGTTAGCGGGCGTAGTAACTGGATAGCAAAGCTTCTCTTTATAAGACCAGATGACAAGAGCGGAACTGGGGGCGCTTACACATGGAAGAAATAAGAAAAGACCTATTTAACCTAAGTAATAGCGGCTTCTCTTATGGCTTAGAAGAACAGAGGGAACAGAACTTTTACAACTTCCCTAGCACAGAGCCTATGGCGCTTATTTATGAAAGTTTAGGCGCTAATACAGAGGGCTTAGCAAAGTTTGCAAAAAGAAAGCATTTAATTAACGGCAGCGCTAATTTAAGCGTAGTAAAGGGAGATAAAGGCACCCAAACTATTACTTACAACTCAAAAAAGAACAAAATAGAGATAACTTTACCAGACCTTGAGCAATTAACAGTATCTAGCGCCCCTGTAAAAAAATTGTTTTCTTACGCCATTATAGAACTTTGCAAAAACTGCATAGGCAGCAGCGGAGCGTATAAAGACACCTTTACAGTATCTACTAAAGACATGGTAGAAGCTGGGCTTTATACTACCATACAGGCAGCCAAAAGGGCTTTATTACAAGCTAAAGCGCCTTTAATGGCTTTACAGGTAGGACAGGAAGAGTATAAAGGCAAGGACTTACAAAGCTTTGCAGCGGCTACCCTCTTCCCTACTATTACGCTTAACAATAAAGGGGAAGCCCGTTTTAGAATTAACCCAGATATAGACTGGGGGCAGTTAACGCAATTCTGGACTAAGCTACCTGTATACTTTTTCTCTCTTTCACAAAAAGCCCAAGACTTACTACTTTATATACACATTACAGCCAGAAGAACCAAAGAGACAGACGGCGGACAGATTGTTTTTACTATTCCTTACAGAACTATACAAACTGTATTACACCTACCAAGTGAAACAACCATAGACCCAGAA